CCCTTGTGCTTGCCAGACAAGTGCTTATTCTACTGAGCCATCTCCTCAGCCAGCCCCTTTCTTTAAATTTTTAAAAAATTATTTTATTTGGTACAGCATCTTGCTATACAGCTTGTAGTAATCCTCCTGTCTCTATGCTGGGATTACAGGCATGCGCCACTACCCGTGGTTTCAGTGGCCTGCATGGTGCGCCCATAGTTCCGGGCCAGCACAGCATGTGGTACTAGGGATTGAACTGAGTCCCTGCAGTTGCCAGGCAGGTGCGTAGACCGCTGAGCTATCCTCCCTATCCATGAACATGTTTTAAAACTAGACAGAAGTGGCAGCTGTATAAAATGGTGAACTTAGTAAATGACACTGAGTTACTCCCTTTAATATGGTTAACCTCATGTTATGTCAATTTTACTGCAAATACAATTAAAATAAATAATGGAATGCAATGTGTTAGTTATTGAAACTGTCCTACCAATTTGGTTTGAACCTGTCTCCTTGTTATTTGTTTCTCAATAAAATTATGGGGGGGGGGAAAAAAAAGAATGGAGGGGCCGGGGAGATGGCTCAGTGCAATAAGCACTTCCCTGGCAAGCACAAGGGCCTGAGTTCAATCCCTGGTTCGGGGTTGGGGGTGGGGGAAAGAATGGATGGCAAGTCTAAGGGCCCAAGTTTAGTCCCTGGTTCCACAAAAACCAAAAACAATAAAACAAAACAAACAACAACAAAAAAGAATGGACGGCTAATACCTAAGAGGGATTACACTGTAAGACACCACTTAGTATGCAGCTACTCAAAAACAAGCAGGCAAGCAAATAATGCAGCCAGTGGAAGGATCTCTTGACATTGTGAGCAGGTGAGTGAAGCACGTAACATGCTACCGTTTACATGACGAGAGAAGAGTACTGGGCCAGGGTGGTGGCTCACGCCTATCACCCAGCACTGGAGAGGCTGGGCAGGGGCAGGAGCATCTTTGCGAGGCTTCAAAGCCAGCCTGAACTGCATAGTGAGACCGTCTCAAATATGAAGTAGTATTTGCAGACTGAAACAACAAAACCAACCCCTGGAAAGACAGCCAGCTCCAGCAGAGGTCGGGTGGGCTGGGAGCTGCGCACACTGCACAAGGGAAGTGTGGCCAAGACCCAGCGCTAGAGCTGGGCTGTGTGGCGTCACGGTAAAGCCCAGCTCCCGCAGGTACAGAGCCCTTCATTCGGCTCCTCTGCCACGAAGCAGGGAGGGAGGAACTACTTTCCCACGCAGGGCCCCTGAAGCAGTTGGCGACAACACCAAGAAGATGCGCAATGCCTGGCTCACGGCCGTCTCACTCTAACGAGCTGCTGCCACCTTCATCAGCAGATGCCAGGCCGAGGTGTAGTCAGTGTGGACCCTGGCCTGCGCACACAGGGTTCTCGAGGGAATTTACGAGAGCAGGCTGGGGCGAGTGGACGGGCCTGCACTGTGGAGAGCGCTAGGGGATGTGAGCTTCAGAGCTCAGCAGGAGCCCCAGCCTCGTACTGACAAAGCTCCAAAGCAGACTAATGGTCCTTGGGCTGCAAGCTGTCCAAACCCAGTGGATTCCACACTGAGCCATCAGTAAGAATTCAATCCTGCATTGGAAGACTTTCCAAATGTTCTTTCTTTTTTGAAATGGTCTGGGTATGTAGCCCAGGCTGGCCTTGAACTTGTGGTAATCCTCCTGCTTCAGCCTCCTAATTGCTGGGATTACAGGTGCAGGCTACCATGCCTGGTGACCCAAAGTTTCAAAATGCCTGATAGATATTTTCATTGTTATTTCTTTAGGGTATTACAGTCATGAACAAGGAAACAGTACAAGGAGATGCTGATTAACAGATGCAGAATGAAATCAAAGACCCGGGGCTGAGGAGATGGCTCAGTGCAATAAGCACTTCCCTGACAAGCACAAGGGCCTGAGTTCAATTCCCGGTTCCACAAAAAAAAAAATAAATAAATAAATAAAAAAATAAAAAGCCCATGTAGGTAGAAAGCTACAAGAATAAGGAGCATCATGATAAAGAGACTGAACTGAAGGGCCGGGGAGATGGCTCAGTGGAATAAGCGCTTCCCTGGCAAGC